CTGACATCTGCCACTGCGCTGGCCGGCCGGACCTGCTTGTGCTTCCCGCCGCCGGGGACCCCTCCCACCGGCAGACGGCTGCCCAGTCCCCGCAGGAAGCCAATGGCCGCTGCGGTGAGATACAGGGACCAGATGACCGCCGGGCCGGTGTAGGGACGGAGGCGCTCTCGCACTCGCTGCAGCAGGCTTGGGAGGAGGGCATCCGGAGGGCGCTTCAGGGGAGGCTTGTCCTGGAAGGGAGAGGGAAGCCACGGTTGGACAGGCCCCCCACCTCCCCAGGCTTTTTTGAGATCTGGGTGCGTCTTACCTGGGCGATCATGGTGGAGGGAGGCGGCCCAGGCCGAGTTCAGATTAATTGGGGAATGCATGGATTCGGAAAGCAGGCAAGGTTTGCTCTGCAAAACCGCCCCCTTTGCACCCCAGACTCAGCCCCACTCCTGATGCACCCCCTCCCTCAACCTGGCTGCTTCTCCTGGACCACAGGACCCATGCCCCTCACCTTAAGCCCGTGCTGGGCCAACTGAGCTTCTAGGTTGGGGTCACCCAGGAAGACCACCGGGTAGAATTCCTCAATCCGCTGGCGCCTCCACCATTTCTGAGGAAGGGTCCTGCAGGGGAACGGGGGGGGGGGCGTGAAACTGGATCCTTTCTCAGCCCATATGGCTGCCTTCTCCCCTGCCCCCAGCAACTGCTGGCTCTTGGGGCAACCAGTTCTTCCCAGGGCCTTGGTGGGGGGGGGCCAAGTCCTTCTGGTTGAGGCACAGACAACGTTTTATGGTTTAACTGTTTTAATGGTTTTTCATCCTAGCTGTTTATTTTTCACTGTTTTTGGTTATTCGATTGTGTGAGCTGCCCAGTCACATATGAGAGATGGGCGGCTACGTAAATAGAATAAATAACTAAAATAAAAGTTAGGCGGCTGATCCCAATGGAAGCAAAACCATTTCCCTAGATTAATGATTTCCGCCCCTCCCTGCAGCCCCCCCGGCTACTGCCGTTCACTCACCCATCCTTCCCAGCTTCGGTGAACCAGTATTTGTACAGCTGGGCCCGGATGTAGGCTGGGGGCTGGGACCGGAAGGGGTACTTGGAGTCGTCCACCTGCACAAGGTGGATCACTGCAGGGGAAGGGAGGAGGAGGTCAGTCAGTCGGTCGGTGGGCTGGGGGGGCAAGCCAGGGATCACCCGCACTCAGCCCCTGCATTGCTGCCCACCTCCTCCTCACCACTGACAATCTGGCTGAATCCTGGTGAGGGATGTGGGATGCCCCAGAGAGGCTCTAATCTGGCTGGACCCCAGGGCCTCAGGTGGACAGCCCCACTGGTGCCCACCCAGCCCAGAGGACCCCTGCTTTCCCCCTCCAACAGCTCCAACCGGACCCAGTTTTCCGGAACGTTCATCGCATCCTCTCCCTCCTGGTTTCCCATCTCCGGACTGTTCTGCCCCTTTGATCCAGTGTCGCTTTGGGACCTGGGGGGGAGGGGGGGTCCCAGGCTCACCTTCCTTCTTGCCCTGCAGGAGGCGGTAGACGAAGCTGGTGAACCAGGGGCTGTGCGTGTGGTGGCCCAGAGCAGCGAACCACATCTGCCAGTCCAGGCGGGGCTGGTGCGGGGCCACGATGGGCGGCGGAGCGCTGACGTTGCCCGGTTTGTACATGAACTCTATCTCCTGGGGGTGGAAAGAACCTCTGTCCAGACAACCCAACAGCTGCGCAGCCCCATTATTGTCGGAGCTGCTCTGCAAGGGACCCCCACGGCTTGGCATCGTTTCCCAGCTGCCCAACATAGCCCCCCCAACCCCCTTTACTCTTGTCCCAAAGCCCCCGTCTCCTCTTCTCTGCCAGGATGACCACCCCTCACACGCATTTTGCCCCCGCCCCCCATCCTACCCTAGTCCATGACAGCTTGGCCATCTGCACCCGCGTCTTGCCCACATCCATCCTCCCCACCTCTCGCACCCATGCTCTTCTGGCACCGATCTCCACACACCATGCTCTGCCACCACAGGACCCCACGGTTCTAGTAAGATGCTCTCCTCAGCCGCTTTTCTCCAGGGTCAGCCCTGGATTGGGACTGGGACCAACCAACCACAGCAAGCCAGCCAAGGAGGGTCCCCCAGAATCCCAGGGGGGGTCTGACCAGATGGCGCAGCTCCCTAAACTGGCTTCCACCCTCAGCTATCCCTGTGCACGGCCCTTCGAACTCCCGTCTCTCCCAAACTGTGCAAACGTCTTCCCGGCCTTCCCGGCCCTGCCGTCCCGCTTCCCTCTCCAGCGCCAAGCTGTGGCCCTGGCTCTGCTCTGCAATTCTGGGCGGCCTCAAGCCCTTGGGGGGCCACCAGCAATGCCGAGGAAGAGCAGCTCCCCCCAGCCCCCCTTCCCCCCCACCCCGAAGCCACTCACCGTCCACGTCTCCTTGTCGTAGCTGCCTTCCACCACCACCTCTGGCCGCCCCGCAACTCCCGTCATCCGCCGAAAGAGCCCGTAGGAATTGGCCAGCTGGTAGCGGTCGACGGCCCCAAAGAGGTGATGGATGCCCGGCCAGAGCTTTCCGTTGGACTCGTACTCTATGTATGTGAAGGGGACCTGCGGGGGAAAAGGGGACTCTCCTCTGGACCTTCGACATCTCCCGGAGAGCAGCAGTGCCCTCGAGGGAGCCCAGCCGGTCTGACCCAATCTCAGCCTGGATCCTCTGATCTGGGGCTCCTCCCCAGCCCCCCAGTTCAGCAGTGGCCCCAAAGCAACCTTGGCTGATATCGAAAGGCTAAGACGCGTCAGGCTGGTTTGTGCTCGGATGGGAGACCGCTAGGAAAAGCCAGGATTGGGGCAAGACTGGAAAACTAAAATATTTCCCTGGGAAAAAACGGGAACAGCAAACCCACTTCTGAAAAGCAAAATGCCTTGGAAATCAAGCTCAGTTCAGAAAAGACTGCACTGCCCACCTGGGTGGCCAAACTGAGCTGACACAGCCTAGATGGGAAAGCGAGGCAGGATCCTTAATTGTGCTGACTTATTTGGGAATTCCAGGGGTTAACTGCTATGGGATCCCCTGGGGCTGCCCCAAACCTTCCTCTGCCAGCAGGCTGGCAGGATTCACCCCCCCTTCCTAAGCCCAAAAGAAGCCCGTCCACATCCCGCAGAGACCCTACCAACCCCTCCTGGCACAATCCCCCCAGATATGCTCAGGCTGACCCCATCTCCACCAGACCCCACATCTCAGGACTCACCAGGCTGATAGTGAACATCCCTAAGGCTGCAGTGGTGAAAATGGCCCACTGCAGGGCGGCCCAGAGTTTCCAGAAAAAGCCCCGGACGCAGGCACTCCTAGAGGAAGGAGGGAGGGAGGGGAAGGGGCATCAGGCAGGAGAACCCGAGACAGCAGCTCCTGGGGGACCTCCCGAAATATTGGGGGACGCAAAGGAGCAAAGCTGGTTCTCCACTGAGCAACAAGGCACCAGACTTCTGTTACTCTAGCCCAGTGTTTCTCAAACTTGGCCACTTTAAGATGTGTGGACTTCAACTCCCAGGATTTTTTGCAAGCTGGCTGGGGAATCCTTTGCAAGCTGGCTGGGGAATCCTGGGAGTTGAAGTCCACACATCTTAAAGTGGCCAAGTTTGAGAAACACTGATTTAAGCTGTAACAACAGAGCCGGTTAAGTCTTTCTAACGTTCGCTTGTCTCCCAGGGCTCAAATCATGTTAGGCTGACAGCCGCTGCGTTCCCACCCCAAGGTCATCTCGGGGCTCCCCTCCACAGCGACGCTCCACTCACCTGTATCCGGCCTGAAGGACCTCCCACAGCAGGGAGAGAAACCCCAGGGCCACCAAAGGAAGGGTCACCATCTTCAGCCACTGCATGAACTCATGATAGGTGAACGCTGGGGAGAGACCACGTTGAGGGTGGGTGAAAGGAAGAACGGCAGCCAGGAAAGGTCGGGAGCTGCCCGTCCCCGTCCGCGTAACTGGCACCCGACTGGAAAACTCACTGGGCTTCACCCCAAATCCAAAAAGTTCACATGTGCGGCTGTGTTCACACGCAACCAATGCAACTTCTTCAAATAGGTGAGGATCGCAATTCCTCCAGCCGAGTTGTACTTCCAGGACTAAAACATCAGGGGGGCGACTACAAGGGGCCAGGGACCAAGTGTGAAATGTGCATTTCAGAGTCCAAGCCCCACTTGACTAGGAGGAGTTACAAGTAGAGCATCTGGGATAAATCCTACGCACGCACAGCATGCGGGGGGTGAGGGGAGGGGTCAATCCTTGTCTGGGTCTAAGAATGTGAGAACAGCCCTGCTGGATCAGGGCTGGCCCCATCTAACTGGCATTCAGTCTCACGTGGTGAAACGGAGAAAACGCTCCCCACTGTCGTCCCACCCCAGCTCGGGGGATCCCGGAACCCCCGACGCCGCAGCGTCCCCTGCTGCCGGCTCCCCCCACCCCAGAAGTACCTGTCTTGGACTCAAGGAGTCTCTTCTCCCAGTTGATCGTCAGCCCGAAGGACCGGGTGGTCCAGTAGACCAAGAAGCCGTAGACCCCCAGCTCTGCCAGCAGGACAGCCAACCGCGAGGGCCAGGCTGCAGAAGAGAGATGTGGCAATGGGAGGGGTCAACTCAAGCCGCATGGATGGCTTACTGCGGGCAGCCCCAAACGCAGCTGCAGATCAAGCTGAGGACACAGACTTGGGCCCTGCAGGGGTGGCTGGACCGCAACTCCCGTAAGTCCCATTGCTTTGGCTGGGGCAGATAACAGCATCCAGCATCCATGCTTGTTGCTCGTCTGTGTTCGTCTGCCCCAAACCGCCTTCCCCTCCACGAGATCTGGGCCCGCAACACCCAGAATCTCCAGCTCCAGGCCATCAGGGATGCCAGAGAGAGCACAGTGCTGACCCCCATCCCTACCATTCTGCAATGCTCCTGGCGTGCATGCTGGCATGTTCCTAGAGACGGAAGGCCCTTGGGCTCCTCTGCCATGGGGGAGTGTCTAAGGATAACTGGGGCAACAGGCCAGCCCAAACATTCACCCACTGATCTTCATTCTGGGGAAGGACTTGGCCTCAAGGCTGAGCAGGCCCCTGGGGACCGGATCTTGCAACCCTGCGGCCTCTTCCGCCTGGTGCAGTGGTTAGGGGAGTGGGCTGGGACCCGAGAGACCCAGGTCAACCAGTTCCTGGGTGATTCTGGGCTAGGAGACAGGGGCTTGACCAATTTATCTTTGCAGGTTGGCATTCTGGAGGGAGAACAAGGGGAGGAGAACTAAGGAACAAAGAGAAATGAATTGCAGCACTGAGCCCAATTTACAAACAAAGCCCCTTGTGGCCTAGGGGACTCACCACCGCTTGCTTTCTTCCGGCCGTGGCCCAGCCACAGCCCCACGTGCTCGTCATCCAGCAGGGAGAAGCTCAGCACTACCGTCAGCATGTTGAAAAAATTGTAGTTGCCGGTGAGGATGATCAGGACTTGCAGGAAGACCTGGAACGCGTTTAGTTTTAAGTAAAACTCTCCTGTGTTTAAAATGCACACAGAAGGTTTGAGGGTCACAGGCGGGCAGGGCAGCCCGTGGCGAGGAGGTAAAGCCACGATGGCACCGTACGCAGCAGGGTGTCATTGCAGAGACGACATAATCGCCATCCTTGTGCAATTTCACTATGGTGCACAGGACACTGTGCTCCCCCTACTCATGCTCAAAGGGGATGGAAGAGCAAGGATCAGTTCCCCCCAGCCTGCCAGGTCCGTCTAACCCTACCGGGGTTTCTCCGACTGCTGATAGGGGAAACTATTCTGGGAGGAGCTGGCAAATGGCCTTAGAGCTGAAAGCAGGTTGTCCGGCTGAGCAACCGTTATGACGTACAAAGCGCGCATCCCGTTTCCTCCCTGCACTCTGTCGCTGAAAAAGGGTCCGCCGTAGCAGCGGCCATCCACATCTTTCCTCCCAGCCTTGCTAAGTCTCTGGGGAGTGTTCAGGCCCTGGCTGGAGCTCAGCACCCCTGGACAGGCACCAGGCCTCCCCCAGCTCTCACCAGCCTGGCATCCCCAGTGCCCGGCCGTACCTGGGTGTAGAAGGCAAACAGGCGGAGGCGACGCAGCGGCACAAAGAACAGGGGCGGGATGGCGATCTCGATCACGTAGGTGGCCACCACGCTGAATTTCTGGAACCAGAACGGCAACTGGTGGGCAAACCACGCGGCTGGGGTGGGAATGCACTGGGTCTCGTAGTGGTAAGTCAAGGCTGGTGTGAGAGAGAGAGAGAGAGAGAGAGAGAGAGAGAGGAGGGTGGGACCACAGCAGAGGCCAAGCGCATCAAGCCCAGAACAGAGGAGGCGCATGAGCTCTGCTCGGAAGCGCGAGGACACAGACTCCCTCCCTCGCCAAAGGAGCTTATGCTTGGCATCGCAGCCAGCCACGCCTTCTCAGACGATGCTGCTTTGGAGGGCTGAAGCAACGAATTCATCCCCCGCTTTTCTCTTCTTCTGAATTCTGCCAAATCTTTTGCAGCGGCTCCTATTTACGTTTGCAAGCCCTTGTGAGTCGGGGTCCGCCCCGCTAGGTAGATAAATAAAAAAATCAACTCGGCATGAAAACTAAAACGTCCTCGATCAATATTAGTTACAGAATCCTGCAAGTCTGGCTGTGCTTTACTCCTCCCCCTCCCCTTATACTGCTGTGAATTAGGGAGGTCTCTGCCTGAGTCTTTTGCACACGTCTTCTTCTCATTTTGGACTTAAGCCACGTTTTTCCCCTTGTTGCCTTAGTCACAGGTTTGGCCCGTCTCTGCCAAGGTGATCTTCCTTATTCTCTCCAGTAAGTCACTCCTTTCTTTTTTAAGTGATTCTGCTTGGCCCTGGGTCCATCAGCTTGGAAGCACCAAGTCTGCTATTAGAGCAGTGTCTCTCAATCTTGGCCATTTTAAGATGCGTGGACTTCAACTCCCAGAATCCCCCAGCCAGCAAGGCTGGCTGGGGAATTCTGGGAATTGAAGTCTACGCATCTTAAAGTGGCCAAGGTTGAGAAACACTGTATTAGAGGGACACACAGATTCAAGGAGTTGTGCAGGGCCACCGAAGCCATTTGTCCGACCCCATTGGTTCTGATGGTTATCGTTTCAACTGATTTTAACATCTCTTGTTTTAACTGTGGCTTTGCGTTCTGTTGTAAGGTTCAGTAGCTGGCGATGCATCCAATTTAATACATAAATCCAGCGAGAGACTTTCTAGAATGAAGCAGCAAGTGATTTCCATTTCCCCCGGGGCAACTGCCCGCGGTCCGTTTTGGTAGCTAGCAATGCGTGTATCTGCAAAAGCGTGCAGAGCCCTCTCTGCTTGCTTGCTGGTTCACTCACCTGTGAGCCCCCACCAGGTGGGGCAGCGGCTGGTCAGCTTCACCACCCCCGAGGCAAACATCAACCGGAAAAGCAGCCAGCGCACCAGCCAGAAGGTCATCCCATCGTGCGCCCTCCAGGCTGTTGAGCGCCACTTCAGCAGATGCAGGGGGGCCACTAGCACAGCCAGGAAGCCTGTCTCCAGCAAAAGGCTGTCCCTAGTGTAGGAAAACAAGGGTCAAATGGGCAGGGATGGACTGCACTGGGATGGTCCCCCTCTTGCGCCAACACTCGCGGGGGTTATTCGGCACTCCCTGTGACCCAGAAGTCAGATTCTGTCCTGGGGAAACACAGGCATGGTAAAGGGGCCAGGAGGTACAGGGACCCAGAGAGCTGAAGTCCCCACATTTTCCTTCTGTCCCCACCACACTACTGCCCAAAATGCAGTCTCCTTTGAACAAAAGAAACACAGAGACCGTGCCACGCACCCAGTCTTTGTTATTATTTTCACTGCTTGCAGCCCAGGAACTCCTACGATTGTCAGGCTCAGCCCAGGAACGGCGATGAAACAGACCAGTCCAGTCCAGTGCCTTTATTTGCTTACACCCTCTAGACAGAATCTCGCCAGACTAACTCTATACTACAGCAACTAGTGGACATACCCTGTGATACTCTAGGGAGGGGCTCGTCTAAACCTCTTTTTCTTCTCACAGTCTTGCTGCGGACTGAGAAAGCGCCTGCCTCATCCCCCTTCCTGGAATGCACTACCTCCCCCCGATAGCCTTGACCTCCCATACCAGTCTCCTCCTCGCAGATACCTTCCCTTACAATTACGCACCGTACATCTACCTTGGAGGGTTGTACCAGTGCAGGACCACTTACCACTGGAAGTACAGGAACACCTGTCCCACCTGCAGGGAGTTAAAAAAAAGGGAAGAAAAGTCAAATCAGCAGCAGCAGCAGTGGCCCATCAGGTGCCTTCTGAGTTGAGATTGGTTTTCCTGAGGTAACAAATGACATCCCACCTACTGAATCTACCTGCAAAGGTCTCCATCCCCCACCACCCGGGAGGAGGAAGCGCGGGCCGGCCGCAGCTCCTTGGGGCCAAGGCCAGCTGCCTTACAACGGTTCTTACAAGGGATCAGGGAGCGCTATTCCTGAGCCCAATCCCAGCGGCACAATCATTCAGGAGAGGACGGGACTCCCCTTCTCCCAGTTCAGCTCAGTCCCCACTTGGTCTCGAGGAGTTTGTGGGATGTTTCTGAGAAGGGGAGAGGATCTTCCCTGGGCGGCAAGAGGACCTTTGTGGCCAGTAGGTCCAACAGGGGTCCTTGACCTGTGATCACAGCAGCTCTGGAGGGTGCACAGAGCCAGGGGCAGACGCACATGTGCTCCTGAGCCAGGCAGGACCAGAATTGGGGAAGAGGGAGCCCTCCTCACCCAGAAACGCGCACCAAAAGGGTTCCTAGCAAGTGGGAGGGAGCACCCCTGCTCCACATTCCCTGGCTGGCTGGCAAGCTGCAATTCTGGGAGTTGAAGCGCACCCAGCTTAAAGTGGCCAAGGTTGAAAAACTCTGGCTTAGAGTTTATGTGCCATCAGCCTGGCACTGGTTCATCCTCACGGTGGAAATGCCGATAGCTAGAGGTGGCCACTTTCTCCTCCCACTGCGCCCCCCCACTTTATATAGGTGCAGCGCACAGTGCTTCATTTTGGGGAGGAACCCCCGTGGCAACAGCAGCCCCGTCTTGCAGGCAGACCCTCCCCCCGGAAGGAGGGGGGTCTGCGTTCTGTCCCTACCCCATACCTGGTAGAGCGACAGGTAGAGCGCCCAGAGGGCCAGGAAGACCAGGCTGTCTCGCAGGGGCTCCAGCACCAGGGCCCCGAAGGAGAGCAGCGTCCCCAGCAGGCACAGCAGCTCCAGGCCCTGCTCCGTGTCCAGCCCCAGGTGGGGGCCCAGCCACAGCAGAGTGGGGGAGTCCCGCAGCTGCTCCCAGAAGCCCTTGCCTGTGAAGCGAAGCATCTTCCGTGCCGGCAGGATGCCATCCTTCCCGTAGAGGCCTGGAAGGGGACGCAGAGACTCAGTGACTGGAGGAGCGCGCCCTGCCCTGGGGGCACAGCCCGCGGCAAGCCCCCCTCCCTGCCAAGGGAAGGCCCAGACTCATCCGTCTGGGACCCGGGGCTGCCGGGTGCTGCAGAGGCAGAAAGGGAGGTCTGGGCAGGGGGAACAGCACAGCGCAGCCCCTGCCCAGCGGAATGGCTGCTGCAAGAGGAGAGGGTGCCAGCGTGCTTCCAACACGCGTGTCCAACCCGAAGGCGAGAGGAAAGCGGCTGAGACGTGTGCCCGCCATGCCCTGTCCCCCAGGGAAATAAAACTGGGGGGGGGCATAGTGGTGGCCTTACAAGCCCGGGGAACAACCTGAGAAACAAACATTCATCCAGCCACTGCTGGCCAGAGGAAGCAGAAGGGTTCTTTTCAACCCCCACCCACCCCCCGTACTATTCCCTTCCTTCCTACACCAGCTCTGCTTTAACGTCGGTGTTTGCTGGTTTGAAGCATTTTTACCAGGAGGTTTTTTTTTAATTTCACTCTCTCTTTACTGTAAACCACTTTGGGTTCCGGCGGGGGGGAGTGGGCAGGAAGCAATACAGAAACTAAAGTAATGATGATGTGAAAAGGGGCAGCACCCAGGCAACACTGGCTAAGCAGGGTGGGGCCTGGTTAATATTTGGATGGGAGACCACTAGGAGATCCCAGGGCTGCAGCTAGACTGGCAAGCTTTTAAAAAAGGCCAATACATTTTGTATCAGGAGTTGAGTTTGACTCTAGGAAGGCTTGATCCTTAATAAAAAAGGTAAATAACAACAACAATAGGCGCACCATCCGAATCCACATTACACCTTCCAAGCGTAGGACTGCCCTTCATTCCTTGCTCCTCCCGTTCTTCTCCTCGCCCCAACTCAGAATTCCCCATTCTCTCCCCAAACCCCTTTTGCCAAGGAGAACATCCCTGCTCTCACATGCCAACTTCATCATCCCAAATGAAGTTCGTACATCTGCAGGCAGTCTTTGGGTGAACCTAACCCCTGCCGAAAACAAATTCTGCGCACATCAGAGAGCGCTCTGTGCCAACAGAGCAGCCTCCAGCCTGCACGCGTGCAAGCCGGCTGCTGCCTCTCCTATGCCCTTCTCAGTAACGTCGTGTGTTTTTTTTTCACAAGTCAGGGCTTATCTAATGCCAAATGTACACATCCTGTACTATACCCTTTCTGATAAAAGTCAAGGAACACAGCGAAAAAATGGGACTAAAATTAAATATAAAGTAGACCAAAGTAAGAACAGGTACAATGACCAGCCTTAGAACTGGCAGTGAAAATGTCAAAATGGGGGATGGCTTCTGCCTTTAAGGATCAACCCCCAATAGTAAAGGAACAAGCAGTCAAGGAATACACTGGCAACGAGATCTTGGTAGAGCAGCCACAAAGGCCCCGGAAAAGATCTTCAGATGCCGTGATGCGTCTATACCTACAAAGATCAGAATCATACAGAACACACAGGTGTTCCTTGCTCCACAGAAGTGAACGTTGGACTTTGAAGGACAGGAGGAGTATTGGCACTTTTGAACTTTGCTGTTGGAGAAGACTCCTGAGAATATCGTGGACAGCCGAGAAAACAAACTGATGGATCATCGAACAGATCAATGCGCTGGAGGCACAAATGACCAGGCTCAAATGGTCCTACTTTGGACACGTTATGCCAAGACCCAGCTCTCTGGAGAAGGAGCTGATGCTGGGAAAGGTGGAAGAAAAGAGGATGACCAGCAGCAAGGGGGGTGGACTCCGTTAGAGTGGTGATGGGGGCACCCTTGGAAGGCCCAAAAGACCAGGTTGGGGACAGATTGTCATAGAGAAAATCTATCTATATGTCGCTAAGAGTCAGCTCTGACTCGATGGTATATAATTAGTCAGCATGAAGACAGGGCTCTCTTGAGAAGTCAAGAGAGTAATGCTGAGAAAGCTGGAAGGAAAGAGAAGAGGACGACCAGCAGCAAGGTGGATGGGTTCCATCTCAGCAGCAGATCGTCATGGAGGAACCCTGTTGACCTGATGGCCCATCGTCATCATCGCCCATCACGATTCCCCTTCAGGATAAGCCAGATTATGCAGAGCCCGGAAAAGGAGTAAGAAACAGTAAGCAAGGGAAGTGGAAGAACAAATAAGGTGAGGAAAAATAGCTAACATTAGCTTGCATTAATCCCATCGCTCTACTCCTCCGTATCTTCCTATCTCGGCAACTCACTCCTCTCCCGGTTCCTCCCTTCTGTTCTTCAAACTTCTCACCCCTCTCTTCGAGGGGGGCTCTCTTCATCACCTAACCGTGACTTTCTCCGTCTTCCCTTGGCTCTGAGGTGTGATCCATCCTGCTAGGACACCCAGCCACCTCAGCGCACTTTTCGATAGTTTTGTATTCCTTCAGGGCCTGCCCATTGTGGGTCCTCTGCTCTTCTTCTTTTACTGCAGACGGTGTCAGAGGAGAGCCCTGCTAGCCCACGGGGGCCCACGGATGCCTTTCAATAAAACTGGGAGCAAAAGTGGTGCTCCCAGACCCTCCCTGATCTTTCTTTTCTTTTTCTGCTGCAGCTTGCTCTGAAGCTGCTCCTGACATACTCAGCTCTCGGTTCCACACAACGGAGAGCACAAAGCTCCCTTATACCCAGCCAGTTTCACTTTTTCAATACTCATTCCTCGCAAAAGATTAATGGCTATTTTCTTCCATCTCCACTTTCCCCTGTTTACCAGCTCACCTACTCGCTCTGGTTTTTTTGCCATTTATGGATAACTCGCATTGTTCGCTCCTTCTTCCCTGTCAAACACAGCTAGCCTGGTCCCGGATGCACACCCGCGCCCAGCAGAAAGTCACACTGCCCTTCCCACACGCCGCCTGTTTTCGCCTCTCCAAACCTTTTGGTCAGAATTCTGCCAAACACCTTCTGAGACACACTTCACCCCGGTCGTTTCTGCACTCCCTCTTTGTACGCCAAAAGAACGGCGGCAATCTTCTACTTTATGCACGTTGTACAGCAAACCACACCCTTACTTTAGCATTTCTCCACGTCTAGCCCTGCTGCCTCGCTCCTCTTCCACGGTCCCACAGCTTTTCCAACTTCTTTATCACAGCGGCATCTATACTGATTTCAAAGGCCCTCTCCTGGGTCTTCGCTGCCCCACCCGGACTGGTTGGAATGAAGGACGCTGGGAGATGTAGTCCAGCTACACAGAGAGGCTTCCTGCACATGGACTTGGAAGATCTGCTCCTGATCCAAACAGCAAAGTGTTTGGATCAGGAGCGACCCCCCGCACCCACACAGGAAAGGGAAGCAGCGTCAGTGGCTTAGGGGTGTGTGTGCGCGTGTGAGAGAGAGACTCATGGGGCTTGTAATCCAACACAGCTGACTCCTTTACAGCTAGAGATAAAAGGGGGGTTCTAGCAAACAGGGAAATGTTGGCAGCATCTGGGCCCCCTTATCTGAACCCCAAAGCACACGTGGGTTAGTTCTTGGGTGGGAGATGCCAAGAAAGCTAAAGTGGGAAACCAGAAAAGGTCCCAGAAAGAAGCAGCACGCTGGTTCGTGCTGAGAAAACTGCACGGATGTCTCCCGTGAAGCTGCCAGAAGGAAGACTCGACTCCAGGAAGGCTTCACAGTCCCCCTTACAAAGCAGGCCTCCCTGGCTCTGGAGAAGCAGGGGAGGGGCCACCCCACCCCGCCCCAGAACCGCCCCTCTCGGCCCACAGGATGCCAGCAGCGGGTTTGAGGCAAAAGGGAAACCGCCTTGAAGCAAAAGGGCCACTTGCGGCCCCAGACGGCCACGCCGCCTGGGGATGAGGGGGGGGGAGACGCCGGGGCGGCCCTGCTTCCGGAGGGGGACGCTCGCAGGAGACCGGGGAAGGAAACGTCCTTTTCAACAGCAGCAGAACGAAGGGAAGGCAGGTTGGGGCCGAACCCCAGGCCTGAAGCAGCCACCGAGGGCTGAGCAAAACGGGGAGGGCAGCTGGGCTGCAAATCCCACATGCCCCACCTGGGAGCCCATTTGCACGACTGCCACGTGGAGATCCATCTGGGGACAGATGCGGGAGG